ATTGTGTTCGTATTCTGAAAAGATTGGTAATGAGTAGAAGTGTGTCTTGCGGATACTGAGAAAAAGCTGTATATACGGGTGTGCTGCAGCGGCTTGGCCGGCTTTCCCATTTAAGAGAACGTTTAATCCATCGGGAATGTGTATTGTATTTCTTTTAACCGATTAAATCCAGACACTGTCACGCCGCTGGAACCACTTCATCTTCTTGCCAGATTTCTATATTTCTTTCTTCCACAGATTACTCACAATGACGACTACCGGAAGCTGCGCCTGCCATCAGATTGAGTTTCAATACTCGGGTACGTTCACGATTGCGGGCGGAGCGTCCAAACTGAATGGAAGAGAAAGAGCTAATCCCAGTAGGCAATCCTGTCCTCACCGCACTATGCCACTGCGTAGACTGCCAAAAGGTGTGTTGCCTCATGATGCCTACAGCATGGTGCCTGTTTACTTCAAAAACTGTAAATGGTCAGCTAATTCTTGCCAGTGGACTGGTAGCGCCTATACCTCCAATGCTGTCGTGCCCCGCGACTCCTTCAAGGTAACAAAAGGTATGATTTCCCGCTCATGTCTCTCACCCACTTCAGTCCGTCCTTTGCGGGCTCCAGTTTCTTCATACAGGTACATGATGGCAACTAACTGTAACAGGCACACCCAAGATCTGGGATATTGCCGGGGATACAGGCAAGAACAACAGACATTTCTTTTGCTCTGCTTGTGGCTCTAGCTTGTATTCAGAGCCTGAAGCTATGCCCGATAAGACGCTTGTGAAGGCAGGAACTCTGGACAAGGGCGCTGCAAGCCTAGGGGGCAAGATAGATATCGAACTATATACCAAGGATCGCGTCGGATATGCGACTGCCATGCGCGGTGCAAAGCAAGAGGCTGCTTTTGTCAATTAGTCCACCTTGCTTGCAAATATAGGAAGATAAATCTCTTTAGTCGTGAGATAATTTAACAAAGAGTGCTTTTCAAAACAGTTTATTGCTTAAATGTGTGTCCCTTACCTTTTGGTGTTATTATGCCGAATTTATACGCTTTTTTGAACCTGGATAGGGCCGAATTGGCTCGGTGTCAGACATCTGTACCCACCAAGTAGCGGACGCAGCGCCAGACTTGACCGTTTTTACCATCGAAATTCGACTGGCAACAAAATTTGGCTTTCAGCGCGCACCACCCACCAACCACAAATGATGATGGACTAAAATTTATACTAAAAGATAGCTAATAACGTAAATAATTAAAACATTAAAACATTTTATTTGTAACTTCCTGTACAGCTGTTTTATTCCAGTTTAAAGACACATTTTGGCGGCCACAGCGGCCACAAATCGCCCTTGATAAGCCGCTTTTGGTACGGCCTGAAGCGGGATTGGCTGCTGCTGCCGGCGACCTTGAATAACGCTGTGCACGATGGCTATCAGCAAGTTCGTCCATGCCGCCAATAAGCAGAAGTCGTAAGATATCTTGGTCTCGAAACAATTCCTCCAGGCTGCCCACCAGATCGTAACCGAACTTGAATCCGTGCAACTTTTTGCTCTCATAAGCTGTAGGCGTAATCGTGGATAAAAACAACATGCGTACGGTTGAGTGAGCGTCAGGTAATCTGTGGCCTAGCTTCAGTCCAAGTTATTTCCGTGTTTTGTGTACAATATTCCTCCAATAGAAAGTATTTGTTATAACTCCCGCTAGAGTTATCACCGTGATTAATCTCGCATTCATGAATTTACAGCTACCTCGGATAATCTGCTTGTGAAGGACTTTGTGGGTTTGATAGCTTGCCTCTCGGAGGACTCTGCGGGTACATCCAGATGTCGCGGGATTATGGCCAATCACACCAAGTTCCGACATCGCGAGCTCCGCAGGCAATTGCAGGGGACGGATAACGTCTCGGAGGCATGGCAATAAAGGCTTCGGATGCTGATCCGTGACCATGGTACCAAAACTATCAGAGCCGAATTTTGGCTGAGGGCCAAAATCTCTTAAAAACTCGGCGATATAATGGGAGCCATCTGGTACAGAATTGTTTATGACCACCAGTAAATAGCATCTTATCAGACTCAGTTCTTATTTACTTCATACGCCTTGAGGCAGACGAGAGCCATCCACAACAGAAAGATACAGAGACGACAAAAACTGCCATGGCTCCAAGTGCAACAACTGCTCCTGTTAAGGCCGCTGCGCCGGCTCCCAAAATCGGCAGCGAGCCCTTGCGGCCAAAGGAATACTTTGACAAGCGTTCGGCAGAAGAGATGAAGAAGAACCTCAAGATTCCAGAGCGGACCTTGCAGGAGATGATGGCCTGTGCATGCAGAATAATCTCCAGCAAACAGGAAGACGCGGGCATGACTGGCCAGATTAGTGCGCGTTCTGAGAAAGGCGACGGGTTCTACTGGACTCTACGCTTCGGCGTCGGCTGGGACGAGGCCAATCCAGAGGATATGATTGAGGTTGATGGCGATCTTAACACCGTGACGGGCGACGGCATGGCTAACCCAGCCACCCGCTTCCACCTTTGGGTCTACTCAGGTAGACCAGATGTCCACAGCATTATCCACACTCATTCTCCTTGGGTTCAGGCGCTGGCAGCCGCTGAGCAGCCTCTTGTTGTCTCTCAGATGGATATGACGCCTTTCTACAATAACTGCGCATTCCTCGGCAAGTGGCCGGGCCTGCCCATTGCCGACGATGAGGGTGTCATCATCACAGCGGCCCTGGCCGACAAGAACTCCATTATCCTCGCCAACCACGGCATGCTCACGGCCGGGAAGAACGTGCGCGCATCTACATACCTAGCAGTTTTATTGGAGCGTGCGTGTCGTATTCAGCTGCGGGCAGCTGCTTATGGTCCTCCTAGGCCTGTCAACGGAGCTCTTGCTAAAGAGGCCGGTTCTTACCTTCTGCGAGATAACATCGTCAACTCTTCCTTTGAATACTGGTACCGACAGAGCAAGGGATTTGCCCCTATGTCTATATAGAGGGCGCAACAAGGCGGGATCAGACTTCACTTCATTTGTCACAGGAATTAAGAACGGAACACACGCTATCGGTCAGAAGGATCAATTTAACCTGGACGAAAAGAAAGCTTCGTATATAAGACTGCCTTCAATCCCTTCTTGATAGCGAAGAATTGCAAGCACTGTTCTGACTCTGAAGTCCTCTCTACTTTACACATCTGTGACTAAGACAAGACTGCGTAAATAGATAGTGGGCGATATAAAAGTAAGAATGTTTTTCTGCTGAAAGAGGTTTTGTAAAGCCGTCTGCTAGTATGTCTGTAGTTGGTACCCACTGAACGGTGATTTTGCTATATCTATGGATCTGTCTTAGCCAGAGGTTGTGGATGTCGACGTGTTTTAGTTTTGACGTTAGTTATGGTCTCTCTTTCTGGATCAGGCCTACTGTTTGTTAGTTATCGCACAGGATATGAGCTTGTTATTCAGGATTGAACTCTATTTATTAAAATAGCCGGTATAGAGATATTGTCTCCCCTCGCTGTGTGAGGCAGCAATAAGAGCTCAGCTTTAGTTATTATTGTGGTTACAGTCTTCTGTTTTGAAGACTGCCACATAATTGCGCCATTGAATAACTTTTATTAGGTAACCCTGTCACGTTATGAGACTTATTATTAATTAAGCTTATTATTAAAAAAGAATTTATTGTTATTTCTATCCTTTAGAAGGGTTCATGTCTTTTATCCTTAGTTTGGAAGACTTCCCAGCCACCTGATTTTATGACATCCAGCAATTACGTCAAGTCTTCTTGTTCAACTAACAGAGGCAGCTTTATCTGACACAAAACGTGACAGTTATTGAGGCTGCAAATAAAAAGGCATATACTAACGCCAAAAAGTGGTTTTTTGAAGCTGTAAAAAGGCACGTAAATAGCGTATAACTTCTGTACTAGAACTACTAGAAATTCATAACGAAAAGGACGTACAAATTATGCGAAGGGGTTAATTGAGCTATTAGGCCTAAAAAGTGCCCGAGCTGCTAATCTGCCCGCACTTTGGTGGTGCGAGCCAAAGCGAGCCCAAAAAAGTAGGGCGTGGCACGAGTAATAGCATGATAGAGCCGGAATCTACTCCGTACAAGACCTCAAATACGAAGCCCCATAAAAAATGCAGAAAATATTTTCGGAAAACTAACCAATAAAAATACTATCCGCTCCGTACCTAGCGCGGAGTAGGTAGTGGGGTATAATAGCAAATAAATTACTAGCCGGTCCGGGTTCCAGTTCACAAAAATAGCTAGTACGGAAAACGGGTGTACCGGAAGTATCCATGTTAACTACCAGGACAAAACCCTTAAGAGTCGGCTACAATAATAGTGGCGTGTAGAGGTGCAACCTGGCAGGGGAGACAAGGTCTCCTCGCCCGGCAAGAACACACAAAAGATACAAGTATTAATAATTACAATTATCAATATTTTACCTTAATAACGGACTTAACCCCGGTAATAATTAAGTAGGGCATCGTGAAATCCAACAAAACTGTGGGTTTGTGTCGGATAATATAAGTGGACTATTTGCTCCGCAAAGAGAGCGTTCTTTTTGTGTGATACATCGTATGTTTTACATCTACTTTCACTACTAGACGAGTTAACTCTATTCATGCACTAACCCCGGAAACGCTTAATGCGGTGCAAAGATTCAGTTAGGCCTCTATAAACTGACATGTGGCTATTCCGGCCTAGTAGCCTGCTTTTGGGCAATCGCCCAACCCCGCTATACATGAATTTCTTGCCATTGAGCATAATCCCGCACATGGCTGGGCAACAACAGCGTGCAGGCTAATTTCTGCCTTTCATGCACATTGCGTGTTACGAAAAAGTTAATTGTCTGTGTATACAAGGCTACTAAACCACGACAAAAAGTTGTATATATATAAGATGAACGAGTTTGAGAACACGGCTATGTTCTGCCTCTTGGATATAGCCCAAAGCAAAAGATATTCAACCCTTTATATTTTGACATTAAGTCGGCCATTTCCGTCTACAATCATGTTCATTCTCAAGCGCGCCCTTTTCCTTGGTTTGGCTGCTACCTTGGTTGCCTCACGAGCCCACGAACATGTCCCTGTTCATGGCCATGTGTTCAAAAGAGGGCTCCCAGAGCCGGTGGGAAACAACAGAATCCCCAATACCATCGTCCTTGGGGATGAAACTTGGACCCGCCAAGAAATCATCGACGCAATAGGAGACTCTCGCAATGGGCCAAAGAACTTTATTAACAAGGGACTGGAGAATAAAGGCGGCAGATGGGTATCCAAGAATGGTCCATTATTTGAAGGCGCTGGATCAGGCCTGGACGAGTGGGACTTGACCAAATGTATGAAGTAGCTGCCCGTTCCAATCTCAAAGTCTGTCCGCATGTAGACAAGTCTAACAAGAAACGCAGTAAATAATCGCGGAAAATACCGAGCTATTACCACGAAAAAGAATAAAAACTTTATTGGTATTACAGAACATGTTGAGCAAAACAACGTCCGAGCCTTTTATGATGTCAGGGAGCAGGTTCGTGCAGGGACATTTCTCAATGGCGGAACTGTTGAAGAAAGAGTAACCGGCATCAACGGACTGCACTTCGGCCGCAAGGACATCGTGGCGTCTATGGAGAGTAAGGCAAGGCAAAAGGTCCCAGATAAAGACGGACAGTGGAGGTCCAAGATCTCGCCACTGGGTGGTAAGTTGCAGCACATTTTTTATGCCATCTTTTGGGTCTAGATGAAACAAATTTCGCTAATTCCCCTGTGACTGGATAGGGAGTAAGGAGGGAGACTTCAATGTTGTCTATAAGAACAACAAATTCCTGTATATTGAAGATGCATCTAAGCTGGGCAAAGACTTGGCTGAAAGAAAAATCTTTTCGCCACCAAAGGTTACCAACACCGACGGAGCAGGGTCATCTTGCAAGAGAGACGCAAAGTCAGACTGTATTCCGGGTGAGGGAACTAAACCCAAGAGTGAAGAAACCAAACCCAAGGGTGGGGAAGCTCCAAAGGACGTGGAAAGAGCCAAGAGGGCCGAAACCGTGTCGAAGGAGAAATTTGAGGAGCTCGCACGGAAACACAAGCTCAATGAAATCCCAAAGAAGATTAAGCCGGATATGGACCTCGAGGGGTTCAGACAGAAGTTGAATTACAAGGCACTAGAGCCCAGCTCACCAAGACTTCGTCCTGGCTCTGGTGGTGTAGCCGTAAAGTTGCTTGGCAGTGCAGGAGGTGCCTTGTGGGTTGGCGGAGTTATCGAGGCCTTTGCAACCGACATGAGTGCGTTGGATCGGGCGGCAGCCCTGTCAGCTATCGTCCCGTTTCTGGGCTGTACTGTGAACGCGGTGTCCTCTCTGCGAGCTGGCAAAAGTGACGTTTTTAACGGAATTGATACGGCCTTGTGCTTGATTGGCGATGCCTTTACGGTAAGCGGCTTTATTCCCGGTATTGTGGTGGTAGAGTTGGCCCGATGGATTGTCACCTTATTTGAACCTATTCCAGGACTGCCGACTATACAGGACTTGCAAAAGAGCCGCGACTCAGTCTGGTTGGACAAGTTTATCAGACAACGCGTCTTCAAATACATATACGCAGCTGTTGTCCCGAGTGACGGGGAGAACGAGTTTACTAGCAAGCTGGCCATTGCTTTCGGGACCGAGTCTTTGGCAGTTGTATCCGAGGGTGCGCAGCAGATTGGTGCGCTCAATGCCAGCAGCTCGATTCTGGACCCTAGCCCTGAGTTGAACCAGGAAGAACTCGAGGTCGGCGCCGAAAAGGCCATTGGACAAGTCACCGACGCCATATCAGCCGAGATTATACGCAGGCAGCGCAAGTACTTGTTGGGTCTTCCTGTCTCTCTCAAGGAAAACTCGACCGCCTTTTTACAAGCTGTTGGCAAGGAATACAACAAGGATTTTATGGAAATGATTCAAAGACCAGAGCATTTCCAGAAATATCCGAATTCGTGGTTCGAGAAGCATATTGAGCCCGTCATCGACGCAGTCGCCAGCTTCATTGCACCAGTTTACCCCGGCGACCCGTATTCGAATTCCAAAACCTTCATGGCTAACGCCGCAGTGACACTTGAGCAGACGCCCTTGCCTATGCCTGACCTCTTGGAAATCGCTTTTATCCTTGGACAGTCAAAGGCACTAGCTGTTAGTGACGAGGTGCTTTCAGTCATGGGTTACCTCAAGGAGCAGTTGCCAGGCAAATCCGACAAGGAGCTTCAAAAGGTTGCTGGCCAACAAGCATTCAGTGTTATCAAGGCTATTCATGGCGATATCAAGGAGTCTGATCTCCCGCAGAGTCCCCTAATTCAAGACAAGAGCATTCGGCAAGGACTCCAAGTTCTACTAGCTATACACTTGGGTAAGGTGGAAGATACAAGAAAGAGGATCGTCATCGCAGGCTCCAGTTTATACCCTACACCGCAGGAAGTGAGCTGGGCCAGCCTACCACTGGTTCCTCCTGCCAATGTCGGTGATAACAGGGCCGGTCTTGTGGCGTCGATGCTTGGATTGATTGATACAACTACTTGGTGGAAGTATGAGAAAGGGGGTCTTTCTGGCGACGAGAGGAAGAAATTTGCCTCTACTCTCAAAGAGCATCAAGACACAATGCTTGCCTATGAGTCCTCTTAGGCACTTATTCTAGGACTGACTAAACCAAAATCTACTATTTATTTAGTAAAGAAAATGTTAAATAGTACTTGTTAATAGGTTATAGCGTCAGGATACTTCTTTAATATAAATATATTATCTAAAAATACAGGGAATTAATATACGAGTATAATACCTTTGCTATATAAGCCTAATTTATCAGATAACTATTATATTATAAGACTTATTATTAATTAAGCTTATTATTAATAAAGAATTAATTTTTATTTTTAATTTAAAAGACTTTCTAATTATCTGATTTTATCAGGGTGGCTGGCCAGCCTCTCAACTACTTAGGTTCCGTTAAGGTAATTTACCCTCTACTTCTTCGGCTCCGTAAAAAATATGTCAGACAATTAAGGTTCACAAAAGATCGAGTATAATAGCGCTGACAGTGCTAGTTATATTAAATAAAAATTATCTAAGGAGTAAGAACCTTATTAAGAGTTACACGGGAACTATACAGCTCTTTCTATACAAAGGAAAGCTTTGATAGTTTATGTGCCAGGCAGCTGCAATAATATCTCAGTTTTTTATGAGGTATAATTAGGGTAGGCCTAATATGTAACACGACGTTATAACAAATAAGAATTACACCAAGTTTGCTTGTTCTATAAACAGAAGCAGTCTTACCCGACACAATACAATTGCCGCACATCAAAATCCCGTATAAATAGCACTTGTAAACTCTCCCACTCCCCCCGGGGGGGGGGGGGCAAGCCTAAGCGTTCAAAAGGTTCTTTTGTACCTCTAATGCTGGGTTAGACCCAGTCAGTAACCAAGCTATAAACCGATCCAAAGCCTTGCCAAGGTGAGAGACCTTGTGTTTCTCCTGATCTCCCATTTCCGCGAATGTTAGGTTCGTGCTGCCATACTCGAAACAACAGTGCCATCCAAAGTTGACCGAGCCACGAGCCGGCACAATAGTTCCATCGGCCCGGCCTTGAAAAAGTATAGGGACGTGGCCAGGCCCTTGGCTGTAGCCAATTGTAGACACGGCTTGTGCACGATAATCAGAAAAGCCTGCCAACAATAAGTGCAGTCTTTGCGGGCCAAGTGCCTCTAGGAACCACTTTCTAGGTATAAAGGTTAGGGTTAATAAAGTACACACGAGACAGGGGCTGATGAGGGCGGGGTTTCTACTAACATATACGGTCCTGGAAGGTCTCCTATAGCCTTGAAGCAGAGGCTCGTGTCCTCCACCAGCACTGGGCCTCCGACCTAAAGTTATATAACGTGGTGAGCAGACTGGCCTCTCTTTTACCAAAGCATATATGCACTTACAATTTTGGCCGCATTTCTGCATTTGTCGATAACGATATTCGCGCTTGTGCCTTGGAGCTCAGAAAGTTCCACAGCGTGCTGTTGGACCACGATCCCGATCTGACCAAGTATGCCCGCAACATCCGCTACCTTGTTGACATTTTCAGTTACAAAAGTTATTGTCGTGTGATCCATGATTGTTATGCCTGACGAGCGCCGGTCACTTTGTGATAGATAAACAGGTTTAAAGACACCGTTAACATGTGCATGCTGCGCTAGTAAAGGTGGACGATTGTAACCAAGTATCTTCCAGGGATAGGCGGTCAATGAGTTTATTCACTAAGGAGTTTTATGGGCCCCACGCTGCTAATACATGTAGGGATGACAAACTACCCGTTGGTCAAGGTGTGGGGCCGTGCCATTAAATGGCGACATCGAAGGCATTTAGTTGGGCTGCTGTGGGCCCTACACCTTGACTAACGGGTAGAGCCGGAATCTACGGAGTACAAGACCGCGGAATACATACAGAAAATACTTCGGAAAACTAACCAATAGAAATATTATCCGCTCCGTACCTGGTACAGGGGTAGTAGAGTATTATGACCAGTAAATTGCTAGCCGGTTTAGGGTTCTAGCACAGTTTATAGAAACCGCTAGTACGAGTGCGGATGTACCGGACATCTGGAAGTATTTATATTGACTGCCAGGATAGAACCTTGACCCTTTTGGCCGCCTTGAAGCAGTTCCTATATTTATATAAATTCACAGACAAAGATATTCTACAAAAGGAGTTAAGCATAACAACCATCCTAACAGTCTCTTTTAATATGGGAAATACAAGGAACATTTTTCAAGGCCTTTCGGCGTTCGCGATTACCCCCGCTGATCCGGATGGCAAGGTCGACACTGGCGCCCTCGGTCGAATACTTGAGAGGTTAGACATGCCCGGTATTGATTCGATTGGACTATTGGGGAGTACAGGAACCTACATTTATCTGACGAGGGACCAACGCAAGGTGGCGATTGATGTGGCTATACGAACCCTGCGGGGTAGAAAACCAATTATTGTCTCTGCTGGTGCGCTTCGGACGGACGATGCACAGCATCTAGCTAAAGACGCAGAGGAAGCAGGCGTCGATGGGCTGCTACTTGCACCTGTCTCGTACAATCCGTTGACTGAGGAAGAGGTCTACCGGCACTATGAGTCAGTTGCTGGCTCTACCACGCTACCCATCTGTATCTACAATACGCCGAGCACGACGCATTTCACCTTCAGTGATGCACTTCTTGCTCGCATTGCCGGGTTGCCAAATGTCGTTGCGCTCAAGCAGCCCGCCCCCATCAATGAGCCGAAAGGAAGACACGAAGCGCTTCGCGCAAACCTTCCCTCTGGTTTTTCTGTCGGATACAGTGCGGACTGGCTGGTGGCTGACTCGTTGATGGCGGGAGGCTCTGTATGGTACAGTGTGATTGCGGGCGTGCTTCCGGCACCGTCTGTCGCGCTGATGGATGCCATTCGCACAGGGGACGACGCCGAAGTGAAGCGCATCTCGGCTCTCCTTGAGCCCATCTGGGAACTATTCAAAGAGTTCGGTGACCTCAGGGTGGTCTACGCACTCGCAAACGAGCTTGGCCTCTGCAAAGCAGCCCCCCCTCGGCCTATTCTTCCCATAGCCGCCTCGCATCACCGTCGGATTGTCTCGGCGTTAGCAAACGTTAATGAAAGCATGAAGGTGCCATCTTGAAACAAGGGCGGGCTGAAGTGGGGTCCAAGGCCGCGCTGGTCCCATTAGTCGGTCGTTACTGTACCTCGGAGGACAGACGAACAGCAAGGATTTTTCAATCCTGATAGACGAGTCAAGTGGGAGGCATCTTGAAGACTTGCGGTGTAACCCGCAATTCATAGCCTCTGGATCGTTTCAACAGATCCAGACACACTTAGTATACACAAGCAATTTATATTATAGACTGAACGCCGTTCTCGATACTATCCTAGCCGTACACGTTTTGAACTATAAGACACAACATTCTTGCTGAATGGCGAAACGTAAAGAGGTAAGCAAGTAACGTAACAAATCAGTGACGCACCTATCTATTATAGCCTATTATTAACAACCGTCGCTACTACCCTTTTAATACCTGCTGTGAATTCATACTTGTAAATTTAGCTATAGTGTCCTAGCGTCTGACGAATTCCGACAACGCCGTTAAGCTTGATATGCAAGTAGTTGCTAGTTGTGAACACACTCGACTAGAACTATTACTAATTAACCATGTGTCACACACACGATTGTATGGGACAGCTTGGGTAGAATAAATGACTCTTGATTTTTTACCTAAAGAGTGGAATAATACGAAACTAAATACTTATTATAATACTGTTGACTGGCAGGCAGCAGTAGAACAATAGCTGTTGCCTTGAATGAGCGACCTGACCTTGACACCATGCGTGAGCTCGCTTTTGGGGTACTTTCATCCATATAATCACTGACAACCACATTGTGGCTCGAGGAAACCCCAGTCTACTTACCATGCACCGGTTTGTCCACGTGGGTGTAACTGTACCAGTCGTTGAAAACTCGGCTACACCGAAGAAAGCCCAGGCACAAAAGCAAGCCTCTGACGGACGGATCCAGCACACCAACAGGCAGCGGCCCTCAAACAACTATATTCAACTCAGATGCAGGCATGAACAGACGGTATTACTACTTGCAAAGTCATATTATTACATAGCCCTGCTGCTGTATGAGTAGACATCCCTGGTCGATAAATGCTTCTGCCCCTTGTAATATGAACCGGCATTCTGGAATCGGGCGATGTGGCTACGGCAGCGCGCAATACGCATGACTCGTGATGGCTGTAGTTTCTAGTTTCTCGTCAAGGTACTGCGGCCCAGGCCACGTAGCTCCGCCCGATTACGAGTTGCAATTTTATCTCGTAATGTATCCTGAGATATAGCTGGCATCAGGTGGTAGCAGTTTGGCGAAGGCCAACGGTAATATTGCGTGGGTATATAAGACCATCAATCCCACGTCGGGTTGACAACTCAATATCTACATCTCCAAGTGAGCATCTCAAATCGCCAAAATATTCTCGATCACCTGCCAAACTGCGACTAAGAGCCCCTCGTCTTCGTAAAAATGAAGATATACGTGACCCTCGTTTCCGTGTTGGCTTTTGCGGCAAGCGCTCACCCGACTGCAGACACGGGCGTTAACCTGCATGCCATACGTCAGGACGATGCTGGGTCGTATGCTAGGTCAATGCTCACCGACCTTGAGGCGGCGTTTACACTCAATAATGCGAGCCTGCCAGAGCTGGGGTTCACCAAAGAGTGGCAATATATTTGCAGCCCAAATATTTGGACAGCAGACCAAGTTGCATTCTGGCATACAGGGACGATCCGCCACGATGATGTAACAAGTTTGACCGCCTATTATGTCCCCCATGTGGAAACCACTGCGACCAATACAGGACGTAACAAGGACGTCAAAATGGTTGTCACCAAATCCACCACTACTTTGCAGGTAGAGACTAAGGGTTGGACGGTCAGTGCAAAGCTTTCCGGCACAGGTGGCAAAAAAGACGTGGCAGGCGGTGCCGTTGAGGTCTCTGCATCGTATTCAAACACAAAGTCCAACACCCACACGGAAACAAATACAATATCCCACGAGGCGTTCTGTGAGCCTGGCTACGCGTGCCGAATTGAAACATGGGCATTCCATTTAGGTTTATATGCCAAACCAGCTCACTGGCCGTATTATCAGTTGTGGAGTCTTGTTTATGGTTATAACGACGAACGCTACCTCTGTGACATGGATGTCCACTTGAGAGATTGCGACCAATTTACAGATAGGCTCAACAAGTGGTGCGATCCCAAAGACGGAGGACTGCTGGACGATAAGGGTGGCTATTGGGTTAACATGCAACCCAAGTACTACGATGTCGAGATCAAGCTACCGGTATACGAAGAGAATGGGTTTCAGCCAATGAGTCGAGTAGTTTTAGTCTCGGAGCCGATCGCGAAGAGGTCGAGGGACGTGTCAGAGGTTGCCAAGGTGGGAACGAAGAAGGATATTACGGAGGCCATGGCGAAGGGGATTAAGTACCAGTTTCTTGACTAGGGGTTAGTTAACTAGAAAGAGAAACTGGGGAGTTGCCGATGCCAAGTGACATGCCAGCAATACTTTAACTTGTGCGTCTCAACCAGGCTTGTCAGCAGTCAATATTGATTGATACGGCCAGTATTGATATTGATATCCAAGATTTAGTTATCTGATGTCGTTGCGTTACGAAGTTAGGGTAGAAGAAATTAGCTGACCAAAAAATGCCAACCAAAAATCACCCGGTGGTGTCACCTGGTGCCTCATCTCCATCGCGTCACAAATAAGCTGGCCATGCAGTCCTTGACCTCCGAAAATCGCACCGACTCTGGCTCAAAGCTATCCAAATATAGACAGCGAGCCTTCCCAAGTAACCTATAATCGGAATCCTGCTCACAGGTCGGACCCAGCAGTTGCCTTGACAGGTATGAGAATAGATTGTGAGCGCCTTTGAGCTGATGTCATGCTAGATGGTGTCTTGTTTACGTTGCGATAGAGTCGCGTCTAAGGATAGGACCCGTACTCGTGCTACACCTTCACTTTTCGGGTAAGGGTGCAGCCAAGTTGCGACCCGAAAAGTAGGGGTATAGTATAAGTAGCTGAATATAAAAGACTGGAAGCTAAGGCAGAACAACTTAATACACCACATTCTCACTAACCTTTCTTCTACTTAGCAGTCCCCTAGTCTCCCTTTTCTTCTAGTTCAACAAGATATTCGAGGAAGGGGGAGGAGATGCGGAAGGGGATACTCTGCGGCGACCGAAGGTATTCAGGTACATGATCTAAGAAAAAAGTGCATGCGAAAGACTATCGTTTCATGACGAGTTAATACCGTTACACCCACCCGAATATCCGCCTCCGCTTACAATTTCCCCTGCGCAACCGAACTCTAAAAATACATTCATAAAGAAGGTGACCCCGGCCAATGTCCCAATGGCATCTTCTTATCGTAGTCCAGAGAAAGGCCTCCTTCGTCTCGTATACAACACCAAGCTCGACTATACTGGCTATAACTCAAAATAGAACATCGCCGGCTGACGTGTTCAGCCACACCATGTCGTCAACATTTAATTGAATATCATTTAGGTTGAC